AGAGCTAAAGCTGGCCCAGAATAAAATAAAAAAAGAGAAAAAAAAGGAGCAGTTGGGAGCTTCAGTCAACAACCGCCAGCCTGAAAGCAGCCCTCAGCCCCTCACCCAGACTGGCCAGGCACCCCAGTGGGGACCCCCACCCTGAAGGGGGTGTGACCAGCGGCAAACAGCAATCATCCCCTCATCCAGGCTGGCCAGGCACCCCAGTGGGGACCCCCACCCTGAAGGGGGTGTGACCAGCTGCAAACAGCCATCATCCCCTCATCCAGGCTGGCCAGGCACCCCAGTGGGGACCCCCACCCTGAAGGGGGTGTGACCAGCTGCAAACAGCCATCATCCCCTCATCCAGGCTGGCCAGGCACCCCAGTGGGGACCCCCACCCTGAAGGGTGTGTGACCAGCTGCAAACAGCCATCATCCCCTCATCCAGGCTGGCCAGGCACCCCAGTGGGGACCCCCACCCTGAAGGGTGTGTGACCAGCTGCAAACAGCCATCATCCCCTCATCCAGGCTGGCCAGGCACCCCAGTGGGGACCCCCACCCTGAAGGGTGTGTGACCAGCTGCAAACAGGTGCCCCAACCCCCCAATCGGCCCTACCCTGAGCGTGACTGAGGGTGGCATCGCAACCTCCCGATCTGCCTTGCTCTGTGCATGACAGGGGGCGGCGCCCCAACTCCCCAATCAGCCCTGCTCTGAGCCCGACCAGGGGCTGCACCTAGGGATTGGGCCTGCCCTCTGCCACCCAGGAGCAGGCCTAAGCCAGCAGGTCGTTATCTCCTGAGGGGTCCCAGACTGCGAGAGGGCACAGGCCGGGCTGAGGGACCTCCCCCCCCCCAGTGCACAAATTTTTGTGCACCGGGCCTCTAGTTTATATATAAAGTTTATACCTAAAGTTATAAATCTTATGTATAAACTTTATATGTAGCCTTTAATAGAGTCCTTGAATAATAAAGGCAAATATGATTCTTTTAGAAGGTAAGGAGAGGAAAGACTATCCAGGCCTGCCTGCCTCCTCTCTCTGTGCTATTTTAATACGGCTGGTCATATCTTTATTCAAAAGTCATCTCATTAAAGCAAGCATGCGAACTGGAACGATGAGAATTATTATTAAAAAAATGATAACAACTCAGGGGTAACTTCTGATCTTTGTCATGGACAGAAAGCAGTGCTGGGACTTAGCAGATGATGGAGGGTGTTAGCCTCTGTATAAAGCCACAGAGAGGAGCGGGATGCAGATGGGGCCTGGGCTGAAGATGAGGTCAGAGAGCAGAAAGGCTGAGCTGAGGAGTGGAGGCCATAGCAGCGAGGAGCATACTTTTAAAAATCTCCAAATCTAAACATCACAGTGGTTCTGCTGTTGGCCGGTTGGCAGCGTCTTAAAGTAAAAATAGGGCTGTGATTTATGGCAGATAGGACACACTCGTGGATATGCTTTGGCTCATGACGTTAGGAGGTTAATAGTCTGTGATTGCTTAGCCCAGTTGATAAAAGCAGTGGTCATAAAACATGATCTATGATCCTTCAAGATAAGAGTCGGAGCTCACAGGTGACAGGCAGATTGGCCCGACCTTAAGGACAGAACATACTTCTGGGGGGTGGAGTTTCTCAGAAACAAAAGAGGAAGGGACTGGTTTTATCTTGACTGAACTTACATTAATATCAGACCTATTCTAGGACACTGCCTTCCTGATGCTGCCAACAGCAGAAATAGAGAGAGTAAGAAAACCGGTTATATGGCCTCAGCAGCCTTCTGCTGCAGGAGGTCAGCCTCCTGGCGTGGGAAAGGAGAAGATTGCATGGAAAGAGCGCCCTGCCTTTCTCCCCCGCATTGCTCCGAGTGGGGTGGGAGGCCTCACTGTAATCTCCCCTTCCTCTTCCTCAACCCTCCCACTCTCCGAACATTGTGCCTAGGGCTCACGTACAGAGTGTAGGCAGCACTGGAGCCAGCCAAGAGCAGCTGCCCTTCCTGCAGTTTTTAATGGCGGTGAACAAACGTGGTGGAGATTCTGGGGAGTTTTGACACACTAATTAGCTCACAGATGAGAAATTCTAAGGCGCTCCCTTTGCAACACAGCAGTCCTGCGTGAACGTGAGGCTTTGGATTTCACACGGAGCAATTATTTTGGCTCCGATCAGTGGCCCCCGGCTGGACCCTTAGTTTCCCTTAACCTCCTGGATACCGCGCGTCATTGCATAGGAAGGCAGGGGGAAATGTATCTCCACTTACAGCAAATTAAAAATAAATAGAAAGCAAAAACCTCAGAGAATGTTGGGATGATAATTGAGTGAGTTGTGTTGCCTTTGGAGATAAAGGTGATCACAGTTTTACTTATGCAGATAAAACAAGAATGTCAAGTACCCAGTGGAAGTGAGCACAGAGAGCCAGCACTGGCCATTTAAGGGGTGCCCTTTCAGAACTCGTCTTTTAAATTCCTGGTCTCTCCACTGTTCTTCTAGGCAAAGATGGCTCAGATGTGTGCCTAAGTGAAACCCAAAAGTAACAATGCATTCGAAATAATAAAGAAGGAAAATAGGCATAATTTGTTTCCTTTCTTTTTTTAATAATGAGTCAGCCATTCTGGTCAGGTATATGGGCTGGAACTAACCAGATGACGGCATCTTTTGCTTTGCTTGAAGGTTTTGAATTATTTTTTTAAATTCAGCAAACATACTTTATTTGAAGTCTTCAAAACCTTGTTTCTTTCAAGACATTTTTAAAGCAGTTTTTAAGTAGAGTTTACAACCAAATTAAGGGAAGTTACCAAGATTTAACATATACCCCCTGCTCCCACACATACATAGTTTCTCCCATTACCAATATCACTGCCCCAAATAATACCTCTTTTTTTTTAAAAAAAAAAAAAACAACCATGGATGAACTTATATTGACACATCATAATACCCAAGGTCTATAGTTTACCTTAGGGTTAATTCTTGGTTGTACATTCTGTGGGTCTCAACAAATCGTATACGAAGCATTTCCAAGGCTCCAAAAATCCTCTGAACTTCTCCTAGTCATCTCTTCCTCCTCCTCACTACCCAGCTCAGGCAACCACTGATCTCTTTATTGTCTCTATAATTTTGCCTCTTCCAAAATGTCACATAGTTGGAATTATACAGGATGTAGCCTTTTCAGATTGGCTTCTCTCGTTTAGTAATATGCATTGACGTGTTCTCCCTCTCGTTTTATAGCTGCATAGCTTATTTCTTTTTAGAACAAAATAATTTTTCATTTTATCCATTCACCCACTGGAGGACATCTTGGGGAATTATGAATAAAGCTGCTGTAAACATCTGTGTACAATTTGTGTGGACATGTTTTAAACCTCTTTGGTTAAATACCAAGGAGAGTGATTGCTGGATCCTACTGTAAGAGTCTGTTTATAAGAACTGCCAAGCTGTCTTCCAAAGTGGCTTTACATCCCCAACAGCAATGATGACAGTTCCTGTGGCTCCTCATCCTCACCAGCATTTGGTGCTATCAGTGGTCCAGATTTTGGCATCCTTTGTAGGTGTCTAGTGGTATCTCCTTTTAATTTGCATCTCATTGATAACATATGATGTAGAGCACCTTTTCATATATGACTTCCCATCTGTATATATTATTTGGTGAGGTACCTGTTAAGGTCTTTGGTCCATTTTTTAATCTGGTTGTTTTCTTGTTGCATTTTGAGCATTCTTTGTATATGTTGGATAATATGCCTTTGTCAGATATGTCTTTTTCAAATATTTGTTCTCAGTTGTGGCTTGTCTTCTCGCTTGGCGCTATCTTTCACAGGGCAGAAGTTTTTAGTATAAAGTCCAGATTGTCAATTATTTCTTTCATGGAGCATGCCTTTGGTGTTGTATCTAAGAAGTCATCTTCACATCCAAGGTCATCTAGGTTTTGTTCTATTTTATCTTCTAGGAGTTTTATAGTTGCATATTTTACATTTTGGTCTAGTTTCAAGTTTTGTGAATGGTACAGGGTTTGTGTCCAGACTTATTTATTTATTATTTTTTTACATGTGGATATTCACTTGTTCCAGCACTATTTTGTTTATAAAATGCAAAAAAACTGTCCTGCTCCATTGTATTTCCTTTGATCCTTTGTCAAAGATCATTAATTATATTTATGTGGGTCTATTTCTGGGCTATGGTGTTATATTGATCTATGTGTGGGGGTTTTTTGTGTTTTTTTGTTTGTTTTGGGGGTTTTTGGGGGGTTTTTTTGCTACACTGTCTTGATTACTGGTGCTCTGTAGTAAATCTTGGAATCAGCTAGTATCAGTACTCCAACTTTGTTTTTCCTCTTTCAACATTGTGTTGGCTATTGTGGGCCATAGATGCTTAGAATTAGTGGTGGTGGTGGTGGTGGTGGTGGTGGTGGTGGTGGTGGGTAATCTGTACTTGGTTGTATTTATAAATGATGTAATAAAATAATATCCTAGAGACTTATAGAATGATGTAGCTTATCAAGATGCCTCCCTCTCAGGAAAATCTTAAAATCATTGTATTTTAGATTCTTAGAGTAGAATAGTTAAAATATCAAAACAGTCATTTGGATAGCAATGGATAGAATAGACCAAGTGGTAAATAAGTATCCAAGGGCTCTTTAGGTGAGAAAAACCACATGATTGATTTCCTCAAAGACAAATTGCACAGAGATGATACATAGATGATAGATTGATTGATGTCAGATAGATAGGAAGATGGATAGGTAGATATTAAAATGTCAATACATGTTTGAAATAGAAAAGAGTAGTAACATTTTAAAAATGTATTAAATAGTATGCCAACCATTGTCTTAAATTATTTCCAATCATTGAAATCACTCAGTGAGCCATGCAGTGTTATCTTGCTTTACACATGAGTTTCAGAAATGTGACATGATTTGTCCATGCAGAACTGAGATTCAAATTAGGCTTATTTGGCTCTAAAGCTTACCTTCTTTCCACTGAGTCATATGTTTTATCAAATGAAGACTAATTTTCACTGATTGTTTGTGTTTTGTTTAATAGCTTACTGTATATGTCCAGCCAGAGCAAAAGCACACAGGTGAATATGCTGCCAACATAACTCAAATTGTGTTTGATTATTATGAAGAATACTTTGCTATGGAGTATGCTCTTCCTAAATTAGGTGAGAATCATTTATTTTCTTACTAGTGGCCCGTTGCATGAAATTAGTGCATGGGGGGGGCGGTTTCCCTCAGCCCAGCCTGCACCCTCTCCAATCGGGGACCACTGGCTCCTAACCGCTCATCTGCCTGCCTGCCTGATTGCCCTTAACTGCCCTCCCCTGCCAGCCTGATTTCCCCTAACTACCTCCCCTAACTGCCCTCCCCTGTCGGCCTGATCCCCTGCTGGCCTGATCACCTCTAACTGCCTCTGCTTCAGTCCCCACCACCATGACTTCCTTCCGGACATCCAAAAGATTGTAGGTCAACCTGGTCTAATGAGCATATTACCCTTTTATTAGTATAGATAGATTATATAGGATAGGATTGCTTAAATGGGGCGGGGAGCCTTTTTCAGCAGGAGGAGATGCTCTTGGCAGACAAAAATAGATAATCCCTGTATCTGGACTGATAGCCAGCCATATGCACTATACT